CGCGCCTGCGCAGTCCGCGTCGCCTCTTGGAGGGTGGGGCGGGACCAGTCGAGAAGGTATTGATCCGAACGAGACCCGCCTCCGAGCCTCGCCGTCTTTTCCGAGCGCTTGCTCGTTCTTCCTCCCATTTGATGTTCACCCTACTCCTCAGAAATTAGGAATTCCGCGTGTCACTCTGCAGGTGCGTGTCGAGGGTCATGCAATTCGTTTATGACAAATTCTGTTTTAGAACCAAATACTCAGAATTTGGCCGGGGCGCTTGTCACAACACGGATGAAATAGAGAGTGGGTCAACAAAGATACTCGGACACGCCGCTCGTGGGATTTTATTCTCTTGAGTTTTTTTGGTCAACTTTTTTGTACAACCAGACAACACATAATGACGTCCCATGATTCACAGATACCTACGCGACAGCCCTGAGCTTCCTCCAGTATCCGTCTCCATCCTGAACCTTCGCTGAGGGAACCGAGGCATTTAAGACACGTTTTCCTTTAGGAGCGCATGATAATTAAAAATCTAATTTTAAAGCATCCCAGGGATTTAACAGACTTAAAGGCAATTCAGTCTGCAAGCATTTATTGAACAACTGTGCGCCAGACAGTGATGTAGGCACTGGGCATATAGTGGTCAACAAAATACAGTATCTTGTGGAGCTTCAAGTCGTATAAAATTCTCAACTAAGTAGAAAATAATAGTTTTGCTATGGTGGATATGATCTCTATTGTAATGCAGCACAGTACACTATAATTAGTATATCTTTTTGAAATAAAAAGCAATTCAGGGAGGTAGAGAGAAGGATATCAATCGAATTAGTAACAATGGGGATGGAGATGCTGAATTAGAGAGAAAGGTACAAGGTAAAATAACTGAATTTCGTGACTGACTGCATGGGAGACGGGCAAAGTAAAAAATGGCCTCCTTAAATTGTTTTGCAAATTAGACTATAAACACTGATACAACTTACACAATATATTAGTTAGGGTATAGGTTCAGTAGCAGTAACAAATGGATATATTGTTGTTTGTGTGTGTGTTTTTCCTCTAACATTCTGCAATTGCTCAGTCCAGGCTGGACAGACAGCTCTGCTCCACACAATCTTCCAGGCAACTAGGTTCTACTCATTTTGTTGATTTACCACCGCTAGGGCGTTTTCCTGGTTTTTATGTCAACATGAAGTCGCCACTCTGTTCTTGTTCCACCCTTGGGAAGAGGAAAAGAGCAGGTGGAGGGCAAGCAGTAGCACTTTAAATGGACCGAGTAGCTCCGGGCGAGGCTCAGCCGCGGAGGGCGGACCTGTGACCCAGGAATTGCCTTTGGATTGCGGTGGGGGCGAGGGCGGACTCCATCCCTGCAGAGGGCGTGCAGGAGGCAGCCCATCAATAATTCATGGATGTTTCTCTCTCCCCCTCTCCCTTCCTTCCTCTGAAATCAATAAAAATATATATTTAAAAATGTACAAAGTAGAATTTGCACATACCATGTCTGCTCACATCCCAATTGCCAAAACCTAGTCGTGTGGCCACACCTAATTACGAGGGAATATGAGAAACATGGGCTCTAGCGGGGCTGGCAAAACTTGGACAGGGATGAGGGCTTTATTCATAAAAGGAAGAATGAGAGGATGGATCTAGGGAACAAGAGCAGCCTCGTCATGCCTCAGCCTCTCTAGGAGGTTAAGTACTCATGAGAACCCCTTTCCCACCAAATTTAACCCCTCTCCAGAGGAAACAACTCAAAGTCCCAACCAGACTCTGAATCCAGCAGTATGTTCAGGATCTCTAGCTGACTCTAAGGAAGGAAAAGGCGATACTAGGGAGGACAGTATGTTTCAAACACAGATTTGCCGTTCTCCCTCTACCTTCCGCACTAAGCAGATACATTGTTTTGCTTTGGCATAACAAGGCATAGCCACAACTTTCAGCATGCAAAACTTGGGTCCCCACTGCAGTAAAATGAGTCATAAAAATAATGCAATTTGCATCAGCTATAACTGCTCTCATGTAGATCGAATATAATTTTATAAGGGAGTACAAACAAGAGGATAAAACAATGATGATACTTGAAGAAAACCACCTAAATATCTGTTCCTGTATATAAAGTTGATTTAAGATATAACCTCAGCCCTAGCCAGTCTGGCTCAGCAGACTGAAGGGCCCCAGGTTCAATTTCAGCCAAGCATGTACCTTGATTACAGGCTTGATCCCTGGCCCTGGTCAGGGTGTGTGCAGGAGACAACCAATCAGTGTCTCTCTCTCACATTGATTTTTTTTTTTTCTCTCTCTCCCCCCTTCCTCTCTCTCTGAAAAGCAATGGAAAAATATCCTCAGGTGAGGATTTTTTTAAAAAAAGAAATAACATCAACAAACATATTTTATCTGGTAGGTAGTTCATATAATAAAGGATTATAAAAACAGATTAGGCCCTGACCAGGTGGCTCGGTTGGAGCATCATCCCATACACCAAAAGGTTGTGGGTTCGATTTTCAATCAGAGCACATACCTAGGTGTTAGGTACAATCTCGTTGGGGCGTGTACAGGAGGTAACTGATCAATATTTATCTCACACTGATGTTTCTCTATCTCTCCCCCTTCCACTCCTTCTAAAAGCAATAAAAAGATTTTTTTAAAAAACAGATTAGCCAACAAATTCACATTTTAAAAACTATAAACTCGGGGAGGGGGGTGGGGTGGGGTGGAATAAGTCAATGGGGAGAAAAAGGGACATTTGTAATATTTTGAACAATAAAAACAAACTACAAACTCAAATGATACTAAATGCAGAGATTAATAATTGAAAAGGTTTAAATCTGTACTGAGCTAAAGGAAGCCTTTAAGATGGAATATTTATGGTACTTATGTTGCACAAAATGAAGACATTTTACTGGGTTATACTCTGTTCAGTTTGCCTTAACCTAACCAGGTATTATTAGTTATATACATTTTTTAATTCCATAGCATCAAATTTTTAATCATAAATTTTCTGAGAAAAAAAAGATTAAACTTGAATAAAAATATCAACATACTTAAGTGGCTTAAGTCAGCTTTCCACACATAATTGGAAGATTTTAAGTTTTTTTATTATCCCCAAATGTTACACTAGATAAAATGATTGGGAAAATACAAATAGATTCATTAAAAACACAGGCTGATTATTCATATCTACTACATTCAAAAGTATGCAAAACAATTTATATTGCAAAGCTGTAATTCCTTTTCCTAACAAAGCATTATTTTATAAAATTGTAGTGTTGTATTCATTTGATTTTAATACAAAATACTTATATATACAATACAATATAAAAGTAAACTGGTACAGTGCCTTCCACAAAGGGATATATTAAGGCGCTTTACAAATATTACCAATATGTTGACCCAAATTACTTTCTGTTTTAGATTAAAACAAACAGGCTATTGTTTCACTTTAAATACCAAAGGGATTTTTATTTTTGTTTATTAAAGAAAATTTCTAAAGTACCTTAGGTAACAGCAGCAGCAATATCTAAAAATCCTCCCACTGTATTTTCTAATTTCTAACATATTAAGTCAGAATAAAACATTTCCACTCACAGTTTTGCACTTGCAACAGCAGAAGGTAATCACTTTTTTAAAAAGTCATTCTCAAAGTGACTTCTTAGTCATACATTCTATAGTTTCTATTACAAATAAGGTAGAAAAGATACAGCAATAGGGCCTGCCTTAGGGTGTCACTGAACAATACACAACAGTATCTACAATTACATAATTATAGAACACATTTTATAAATACTATTGATATGCATAAAAGGGGTAAGTATAACAAAGACAGTTTTTAATGAGTGGAAAAATTTTAAAACAGAAAGCATGTGTAACCAATGTTTTCACTCCATTTCAATGGAAAGCATATAGATTCCTGATACTGTTCTTATCTTTTTGGTCAGGAAGCACCAGGTTCTATACTGGAAGAACTGGATATAGTTTGGGAATAAGACAGCTAATAAGTATATCCAAACTATTAAACCTACAGATTGTAGAGGCTTGTACAGCTTCAGATAAATACAAAAAGTTCATACTGTCAGGAAATTTCAAAAAACAAAATTTGTAGTGTCTGTTACACTTAAGAAATAAGGGCAGCGCAGACTTTGTAGGGAGGGAGGGGGAGAAGACAGCACCTTAGTTTTCCTACAACATAAATGTAACAAAGTTGGTTTTGTACTATACTGCACCATAGTGCTGAGAAGTAAAACAACTAAACGGAAATTTAAATGTGACCGAGAAAGCCCAAGAGCAAGAGAGATGTCTTAAAAATTTGAGTACTGAGCTAAAAATTCTTGAACAAATTTGTTTTGCATAGAATTTTATAGAACTAATCAAATGTTCCATGAAGTGAAGACTGCCATCTCATAGTGCATTTTCTTACAATTCTCTGATTAGAAGTCCTTCAGAAATATTTCTTTATCAAGCCTGTCGAGCCAACCATGTCAATGCCTTCAAAAGGGTGTGTTTAAAATGTCTTAGTGCTGTACCAGCAAGAGAGGCATTGATAGGGATATCTTATCACACAGTACAGAAGACCCTTTCCATCATAAATTATCAGTGTTTATACAAGATGTGCTAATCTGAACATTAATCGGTAAGATTAAAGCAAAGTTCTTAGTTTAATATATCAGTGTTCTTATAGGACAGAGGTCCTTAACCAAGAGTTTATGATAAGTTTCAATATATCCAGAATCCCTAAAATTGCACATATTTTATGTTTATGTGTTGATGTCCATTTTTCTCGGAAGAGGGTGTACAGCTTTCATCAGATTTTCAAAAGGAACAATGATCCCCCCAAACTCCCCCACCCCCATTAAGTGTGTTGTGCAGTGGTTTACAAGCTGAGCTCTGAGAGGGCCATCTACAGAAAGGTGAGAACTGTAAGCTAATAAATTTTTTTGCCCTCCCCAATTCAACTGGAACAGCTTTGACTTAATTTTTACTTACGTATATGATTTCCATTAGCTTTCACATAAAAAAAACAAAGTTTGAAAATAACTAAAATTATGCCTCGTATCCACAAATTATTTTGATAGAATTCCTTATCAGTGGAGCTTCAGAAAAAGAAACTACAAATTTTACTAATATAAGACTGGAGCCCTTTTCCCCATCCTAAAAGAGAAACTAAATGTATTTTGGTGTGAGACCACAAGTCTTGAAACAGAAGCCTATATAAATGTTGAACAGCATATTTAACCTTAAAATAAGTTAGGAGGACTTGAATTTTGACTAGGACCACTACGTACCACTATGTAACTTTCCCTAATTACTAATGGCCACGTGAATTAAGAGTTAAATAATAATTTTTTCATCAATCTGCCCATAGGTAAAATATTGCCAAATAGTCAATTTTCCTTTGCCAATAAACAATCCATGTATGCAGCACTATTCTGAAAGAGGAAACTTGTAACATTACTGATGACATAATCAAAACTGTCACAATATAGAAAAAGTACTATTCAAGTGCATATCCATAATTTCTAATAAAACTTTCATATGAAACTGAAAACCACCTCTGCTTAGGATGGTGGAAATCATTTTTTAAATTTCAAAGTAAAAATATGGAAAATCTTAGCTTTTAGTGTAAGAAATTTTGATTCATGGCAGCTTTGTTCCCCTTTAAAACTGGAAGAGCACAAACAGCAAATGGTGGAATTTTTAGTAAGTAGATGAAAATACACATGTAGTCTAATAAGATGAAAAGAACAGCCTTCATGTTTGCTGTAAATCTGTATCCATAAATATAGTCAGGCTTCTTTTTCAGCAAGGTATTGATGTGTTTTCCAAGATAACTATGGACAGACGACAGAAGAATATGCTCCTGTTAGAGGTTTTAAATTCAAAAGCAAACTAATTTCTGGATATAAAGAAGAAAGGAGACCTAAAAAGTCTTCTCAGAGTAGCAATCTAAGATCTACAGGAATCTCCAAAATAAGTATCAAGGAAAAAATTTCAAGGACTGCTATTATGTGAAATAACCTTGACTATAATCATGTATAACACATCAACCCAAATAATAAAAATTTCATATAATGCAAAAACAAAAAACAAAAACAAAACAAAACCCCCACCTGGAAGCAGCATTAAAAATACCAATATGGAAAGAAAAACGGTAGTGCTTTGCTTCTTTTAATGCCAGTAATTCTTGAGCAACAAATGCTATATTGAATATTCCACAGCAGGAAATAAATGTTTACCTATTTTTCCCTTCTGATAAGCATCCTGTTTCAACCCTATCACCCTGTATTTCTTAGTTCCAAGACATGAATTACACCAATTATCGTTAGTTGAGAACACTCACCACCATGATGGCTTAATTTCTATAGCTTATTTTGTACCAAAAACAAGGTTTATGAGCGGGGGGGGGCGCCCTGTAATGTGGGGTATATTTCATATTTGGTTACAGCAAAATAAAACTGTCTTTCAAAAACATTTCAAAAACTCTTGTCTTTTAAAATTATTTAGTATATGTACAAATAGATTAACCAGGCTTCTCCTTTTAAACAAAGCATGCTATTTCTTTATTTTCAGTACTTTAAGTACCAAGAACTGACTAAAATATTCAGTTCATAATTTAATTTATAACATTTTTTTTCTAAATTACTGATTATAAAGGCTGGAATAAATTAACATTTTAAAAGGATTTCCCATAATTTAGGATCATAAAATATTGTGCACAGAGCACAAACACACCAACAGCTCTGTCATATTTGCATAATTTTATTCTCAGAGCCTCAAAACCCCCTGCATTTCAGGCCTTTCTGCAAATCCTCATTACAATTATTTCCCAGTGTATTAAACATACACTAGATCACGATTTTTGATCTCTGAGCCTGTGTGCTGATCATCTTCATCTGACTGTTGCTCTGAGCCTGGCGAATTAATATATTCATATTCAATAGGCTTTGGATAATTATATGGGTAGCCATTGTCATCAAAAAACCTCCTAAAGGTAAATTCATAGAAAGCATGTTCAGGGTGCTTTCCATTTTTATACCATCCACTGAGAGTGTCATTTACACTTTCTTCCTCATTATCGTCACTCCATAACTTATCAGGATCAACAGGATCAAAATTTGATGTATCTGTTGGGTGTGTGATTTTAGGAATGTATGAAGCAGGTTGCTGTCTCAGGTCACTGGAGAAATCAATTGTTTTAAAAAATGGATGAGCTTTTATTTCATCAGCACCATTCTTGCCTAAACGATCTTCTGGCCCTCGGCAAAGTTTAATTATAAGATCAGAGGCTTCAGGACTCAGTTTAGCTTGCGGTGGAATATGAAGAGCTGTTTGCCAGTTGATAACCTTAAACAAAATTTTTAAAAATTAGGAGGGAAAAGATAAATAAGAAGGTGAAAATTTTCTCCAAGTTCTATACCAAAAAGTCTTACCAAACTATTTGTAAAACTTTAAAATAAACTGCATGGTATTTTACCCTCCTTACCTTTAATAATGAATCACTGGTGGGAAATATACCTTTCTTCCCATCCCCTCCTCTTCAGCCAACTTATACTAATACTAGAGAAGACTCACTGTAAGTTTTCAGGACCGTTTCTAGAAATAACTATTTCTACTATGCCTCCCCTGTTCTATGTATTTACTTGCACCATAATATCTCTAATATTTTGTGGTACCTATTTATGTCTGTGCTCTTCTACTACAGTATAAAATTCCACAGGGCTATAGAGCACGTTTTGTTTTTGTATTTTCTAGTGCTTGGCAAACCGCCTGGCACATAGTAGATATTCAGTAAATACTTATTATGGTTTTGAATAAACCAGAATGAGGAAGGCAGGGAGGAAAAGAGAGGGAGGGAGGGAAGAAGGGAAGGAAGATAGTAGACAGTCAATAAATATTTGTTAAATAAATGAACCCGATTCTTCTGTATTCATATAGGACATTATTAGCTACTGTAGAGGGAAGAAAAATAAACTCTCTCTTCTAGTACCTGTTCATCTTAAAGTTTTCTCCCAGGTTAGAAAAAGGAGATGCCTCAACTAAGAAAATGTCTTTGAATTTTCTGGAAAAAAATCATGATACAGTAGTAGTTATTTATGCCTGGCTCCATCATTTACTTCAAATAGGAGAAATAAATATATATAAGCAGCTGGACAAGTTCTTCACTTTAAAGTTACATTTAGGATTTTTTAGTTTAAGGTAAAAATAAAAAATAAAAGACTAGGCATAGCAAAACAAAAAGATTTAGTTAATTCAAAGACTGGTCAATAGAAATTAATGTAAACTGAAGCATAGAGAGAAAAAATGGAATAAAAAAATAAAAGCATGAGACATGTAAGACAATACCAAATGTCTCCCATATGTATGTATACTAAACTAATTAGTGGCCCAGGAGAGACAGAAACAGAAGAAATCTTTGAGTAATAACAGGGAACTTCCCAAACTTGATGAAGGTCATCAACCTACAATTCAGGAAGCTTTACAAACCTCAATCAAGATAAAGTGAAAACTTCACATGGGCACATAATGGTGAAATTGCAGAAAACCAAACTTAAAGAAAAAATCCTAAAAGCAGCCAGACAGAGAGAGAGGTTCTAGCTCTGAGTAAAACGTAATAGGTATACTCCACCCTGTCTTTCCTACTGAATGCAGCTGTACACTTGGGCAGAATGCATGCACAGCTACTTGAGGACCCTGATAAGTAAAGTGTAACAGGCAGACTGAGGAAGAAGATAAGAATTTGAAGCACCAATGAAATGGTGGTGAGTTTACCATTTTTTCCATCTAGAATCCCCTCATCTAGACTCAAGGTAGCCCAAACCCTGAAGATGTTTAGTTCAGAGTGAGCTCTAGGAAAAGTCCTTCTGGTTCAGGCTCAGGGATTGGGAAAGGGTTTCCTGGCCACAACAGAGGTACAATAAGGGCAACCTGAAACTCTGAAAGGGAACCTTCCCCTTAAATTAGAAATTAAAGCATGTAGTCCCAAGAGAATAGACTGAATCCCTGTCACTTTTTCTGTGTGCTCTCGCTACCTTGTCCTGGATGCAGTCATGAGATGTGTGTGGCAGAGTAGGATAAATAAAGCCTAATTTTCTAGTCAAGAAACTAAAAAGGGAACCGCCGAAGGAACTGAAAATACCAGGGACATGGCAGAGGAGGAGGAGATTGTAAAGTTATTTACAAACTGCTGGGCTCACCCCCTAAACTGTACCTGTGTGGATCTAATCCTATAGAACACATCAAAGACTTTGAGAACTGAACTAAGAAGACCACAGCCAGGGAGAGATCGTCTTAGCAATGTCAAGGCTTTGATAATGAAGCTGACATTGAAGTCACAAGCCACAGAAGGCTAGTTAGAGCTTCTAGACTGAATCCAACCAGGTTTAATGCCAAAACAATATGAACATTCTCTGTAACATTGACACAAAACCCAGAATCTCATAACATAATATTCAAAATGTCCAGGACATAAACCAAAGTTATTTGGCATTAAGAAAAACAAAAATTTCAACCCACATAGTAAAAGAAAATCAACAGATATCAGTGTTGAGATAACAAAGATTTTAGAATGACCTGACAAAAACTTTAAAGTAGCCATTATTAAACTGTTCTAAATAAGGATGAATACTCTTAGAATGAAATGAAGACAGAAAGTCTCAGCAAAGAAATTAAAGATATGAAGAGGCACTAAATGTAAATTTTAGAACTAAAGAGTACCATAACCAAAATAAAAACTCAATGGATGGGCTCAATCGAATAGAGATGTCAGAGGAAAGTGAACATAAATACAGATGGACAGAATTATGCAACCTAAACAAAGAGAAAAAAGAGTTTAAAAATATAGCCCTCAGTAATCTGTGGGGCTATACCAAAAGGTCTAACACTGGTATCATGAGAGTTCCATGGAAAATAAGTGTGTGATGCAGAAAAGATCTGAAGAAATGATAGCTGAAAACTCCCCAAATTTGACAACAGATAAACCTATATATTCAAGCTCAGTGAATACCAATAGGATGAGCCCTAAGAAACCCATGCCTGGACATTCCACAATTACAACACTGAAAGCAACCAGTAAAAATGATGCATTTCTTAAGGGAACAATGATTTGAATGACTGTAAATTTCTCATCAGAAAGTATGGAGAACAAAAGGAAGTGGATATTTTAAAGTTGGGCTAGAACTGAAACCCAGAATTCCATTCCAATGCCTTTCATTGTCTTGACTGTGTCTTTGGCAGAATGAACAATTTTACTTTTGATGAAGTCCAATTTCTCAACTTGTTCTTTTACGGATCATGGTTTTGGTGTCATTTCTAAGAGCTCTTCACCTAACTTGAGGCCATAAAGATTTTCTGTTCTATTTTCATCTGAAAGTATTATAGCTTTGTTTTATTTCTAGATCTATGGTCCATTTTAAATTAATATTTATGTAAGGTGTGATGTTTAAAACGATGTTCAGTATTTTTTTGTATATGGCTAACCAATTTTTCCAACACTATTTATTGAGATAATATCCTTTCTCCATTTGCATCTTTGTTAAAGATCAAATGGCCGTATTTGTGTGGTCCCATTCCTCCATTCTCTACCTGTTCCACTGATCTATGTGTGTACCCTTTTGCCAATATCATTCAGCTTGTATTACTATAACTTCACAGTAAGTCCTAAAATCAAGTAGTTGATTCCTCTTTGTTCTTCTTTTTAAAAACTGTTTTCTCTATCTCAGTTCCTTTGTCCACCCATATAAATTTTAGAATCGACTGATTTACATCTACAAAAATTCCTGCTAGCAATTTTTACTGAATTTGAGAAAAATATACAGATTTGGGGGGGAGCTGTCTTCTAATCCATCCACACAGTATGTATCTCTATTTCTTAAGATTTTTCCTTGGTTTCTTTCATCAATTTGTAACTTCAAGCACCCAGGTCTTGTTCACGTTCTATTAGATTTATACCTAAGTATTTCATTTTGGAGAAGCTATTGCAAATGGTGGTATTTTAAAATTTCAGTTTCTGGTTGTTCACTGCTTAAATACAGAAATACAATAGAGTTTTATGTATTACCCTTATATCCTACAATCTTGCTAAACTCATTAGTTCTATGGGTTTTTCCTATGATTCCCTGGGATTCTCTATATAGAAAATTTTGTCACCTGTTGAATAGGGGAAGTTTTTATTTCTTTCTAATCTATAAGCCTTTTATTTCTTTTTTCTTTTTTTAAATATATCTTTATTGATTTCATAGAGAGGAAAGGAGAGGGAGAGAGAGAGATAGAAACATTAATGATAAGAGAATCACTGATTGGCTGCCTCCTGCATGCCCCTGACTGGGGATTGAGCCCACAACCCAGGCATGAGCCCTGACCAGGAATCAAACCCCGATCACCTGGATCCTGGGTCCACATTCAACCACTGAGCCATGCCTGGCTGGGCCCTTTTATTTCTTTTTGTTGCTGTATAGCATTGGCTAAGACTTCCAGAACTATGTTGAATAGGACTGGTGAGAACAGACATCCTTGCCTTTTTCTTGATCTTAGGGACAAAGCATTCCATTTTTCACACACATATACACACTTACTTATATATATACATATTAGAATGAAGGTGAAATAAAGACACTTTTAGACAAACAAACCTGACAGAATGCATTACCAACAGAACTGCACTAAAAGAAATTCTAAAGAAAATTAAGCCCGGTCGGGCGTGGCTCAGTGGTTGAGCATCAACCTAGGATCCAGAAGATAGGGGTTCGATTCCCGGTCAGGGCACATGCCCGGGTTGCAGGTTAGGCAGCCAATCAATGACTCTCTCATCACTGATGCTTCTATCTCTCTCTCTCCCCCCTCCTTTCCTCTCTCTGAAATCAATAAAGATATGTTAAAAAAAAAAAAAATTAAAAAACCAATATATTAAATGCAATGACAGAAGTAGTTACAACTTGGGGAGGAGCATTATAGAACAGATGACATCTCAAGGCATTCTAAAAGAATGATCAGACACAAAAAAACCCCCCAAAAAACCCCCAAGATCAAGGGTTGACCAGGCTTCAGAAAGAGGGAAGGGTTGTGGAAGACAGAAGAGAAAGGACATTCCAAACAAAGGAAATACTGTGAACAAAGGTACAGAGGACAAATTATTTGGACTTTAACCATGAACAAGGGAACCACTAAAGGGTTTTTAGTGTAATGGTTTATAGTAAAACTTTTAGGCATTTAAGTGCCAGAGGTAATTTCAAGTGCAGGTACAGTAGTCCCATCTTATTCATGAGGGATATGTTCCAAGACTTCTCCAGTGGTGGCCTGAAACCACAGATAGTACTAAATCGCACATATACTATGTTTTTTCCTATATATACATACCTTTTCACATAAAGGAAGCACTTTATGGTTCCTCTTTGGCATATCTGAATTGCCAGCATCACTACTCTTGCACTTGGGAGCCATTATTAGGTAAAATAAGGGCTATTTGCATACAAGCACTGAAATACAGCAGTGGCTCTGGTAACTGAACGGCTACCAAGTAAGTAACGGGGGTAGCATATACAGCGGTAATTCATGCCCCACACGGGACAGAACAGCACAGCACAAGATGTCATCATGCTTCTCAGAATGATGCACAATTTAAAACTTACCAGTTGTTTATTTCTGAAATTTTTCAATATATTCAGACTATGGTTGACCACAAGTAACTGAAACCGCAGAAAGTGAAACATCACATAAGGAGGGCCTATTGTATAGACATTTGTTTGTGGTTTGGAGTTAGAATGGGCATGGAAGGAAACAAAGCCAGGAGCCAACAGGTGATAAAGAGTAAACTGAAATCTTTAAAAAGTACTAAAGATTTCTATAGAATGAAGTATGAGTACTGCTTGTGAGTGAGGGAGAATGTAAGAGGAGTGTGATGAAGGGACGATGGAGATTAGAGAGTTGATGCATGGAATCTTACTGGGTTTCTATATCCTTACAAGGTCATTCATTCTTTAAAAAAAATGTGATTTAATTGATTTTAGAGAGAGAGGAAAGGAGAGAGAGGAAAGGGGGAGAGGAGAGGAAAGAGAGAAAGAGGAGGAGGGGGAGAGGGAGGGAGGGAGATCAACTTGTTGTTCCTCTTATTTATGCAGTCATTGGTTGACTCTTGACAGGGGATCAAACCAACAACCTTGGCGTATCGGGACAATGCTCTAACTGAGCTACCCAGCCAGGGCCAAGTTAATTCTTTAATTCCAGAATAAGATGCTCTATGTAAAGGGCTGATAAACATCTGTAATGTAAAGGATTTTGTGACAATTCTTTTGGTATAGATTTTATACCTTACCTTCATTTGTGTTTCTAATGGTGTTTGTGCCAAAAAAGGAGGTTGTCCCACCAACATTTCAAAAAGAATTACACCAACACTCCACCAGTCACATAACTGTGTATAGCCTAAAATAAGACACCAAAGTGATAATTATTTATAAGCACTTTTAAAAAGTATCCAGAATTAATGCAATCATAATTAACATTAAAACACCAATTGATATTATAAAATTAACACTTTTATTATAAACCTGAAAAATAAGCTACATTCTAATGAAGTTTCAGCTGGAGAGCATTTATAAAACAAATGTTTTACCTGTTCGTAACAACACTTCAGGTGCAATGTAATTGGGAGTCCCAACCAAAGAATGTGCTTGACATCGCTGGTGCTGGCGTGCAGCTCTCCGTTCTAGTGGCTTCAGTCTATCTCCACATCGGCAGTTAGAGGGGTCACCCCATTCGTTACTGAAATCCATGCTATCTTGCCGTGGATGGTCACCTGTAAAGTAAAAATAAATAAATAAAAGCAACAAGAACAAGAGTTAACCTAGAGTGTTTAATTTTTGGACATCATGGTTTAGAGTTAACAATATTCTCCCCTATGACAAGCTAAGATACAATGTATACCAAATCACTGATGGTATTTATTAATGACTGGAGCCCTCAATCTGAGACATTAATAGAACAAGTTTTACACTAAGAAAAATTAGCCCAAGATTCAGTAATGTATTCAATGTTAAATGATGATTAAGTCAGGAGTAAGTAAGATTAATAATTTCTTATTCAGACTGCTTCCCATTACTACTCTGGACAAAGTTCCAAACAAATTAGATCAGTGTTTCATTCATTCAACAAGTGACAATTATAAATAAGAAAGATAGGATTGTTCTCTCAGGCAGCTTCTCTGTAGGAAAGAAACACAACAAACAAACAAATACATATGTACGAAACATAGTGATGCATCCCATGTTGAGAATCAACTGGGGTGACGTAACAAATTGAGGTAATGTTTAAAAAAAACCAAAAAACGGGAATCAACCACTTGAAAACTAGGGCAAGGCATTTTATACAGAAACAACAATAACAGAGAGAAGACCAGTGTGGTTAGAAAAGAGAATGGTAGGGCCCGGCCGAGCGTGGCTCAGCGGTTGAGCGTTGACCTAAGATCCAGGAGATCTGGGTTCGATTCCCGGTCAGGGCACAGGCCCGGTTGCAGGCTTGATCAATGGCCCTCTCATCATTGATGTTTCTCTCTCTCTCCCTCTCCTTTCCCCTCTCTGAAATCAATAAAGATATATTAAAAAAGAAAAGAGAATGGTAAGAAATGGAGTGGGAGCCAGTGCATAATGATTTTGTAAGCAAAAGACATGGTTTACCTTTCGCTCCAAGTACGGGGGGGAAGACACTGGAGCGTTTGAAGCAAGAAAATGACAAGGTTTGATTTATGTTTAAACAGAGTATAAGGGAGAACAAGAGTGAAAAGAGACCAGTTAAGAGGCTATTACATTACAGTTAAGCTTGGACTATGATGGTAACAGTGGTGACGGAGAAAAGCAGACAGATTCAGGATATATTTACAGGTGGAGTAAGCAGGACTTATTGATGGACTAGATGTAGAGAGTATGGGAAAAAATAATCAAGGTAACTAGGTGGGTGATGGTGGCATCATTTACTAAACTGGGGAAGACTGGAGGGTGAACAAATATAGAGGGGGACAAATTAAGAGTTGTTTATTGGTAATGTTAAGTTTGAAAGGCCTATTAGAAATCCATGTGAGAGGGAGATGCCATTTCTGGAGAGATTTGGAAGTCACTGACATAAAGATGGTATTTAAAGCCATAATCAGATGAAATCACCTAAAAAAATATATCTAAAATTAACCTAACTGTAATAATCATCTGGGATGTTTGATTAAAATACAATTTCTACCCTCCAGTGAAGTTTTTCAACCAGTACACTGGAATAGAGTCTAAAATCACATTTTTAAGAAGAACCCCAAGCAATTCAGGTGAATCTGGAAAACATTATACTACAGTAAGCTGAACATTAAAGTAGGTTCAGGTGTCTCAGTTCTATCAATTTACTATCAGTCTACTCCTGTTTACAGATGGCTAATAATACTTACCTCAGAGGATTGCTGTAAGTATTAAATTAGAATATATGTAAAGCACCTAGTCATAGTAAGTATTCAACAAATGTCAGATCGACTTACACTTCCATTAGCGCTTGAAGGGATCTTGGTGTGGCACTGTGGTGTAGTAGAAATAACATGGCCCTGTAATCAGACAAACCTGGGTTCAAAGCCTAGCCCTTACACTTATTTTCTGTCTGACCTTGGGCAAGTTACTTCATCTATCTAAGCCTTCGTTTCTTTATTCTGCCTTGTAATGACGTTGCGAGGATTAAACAGAATTATGTACACAATGTATTTAAGATTAAATAATTTGTTGTATGGTCATATAATGGAATCCTAAATAACAGTGAAAATAAATGTTACATGCAGTTAACACAGATGAACCTCAAACATAAAAGTCAACATAGAAAAATACATATAGAATGACTACATTTAAATAAAGATTCCAGAGTAGGCAAAATGAAATAATATATTGTTTAGGGATATACACATATATAGTAAAAATATAAAGAAAAGTAAAAAGCTGATTACAAAGTTCTGAAATAATGGTTACCTCTGTGGAGGAAGGGGATTTTTAAGGGGTTTCAAAAGTACTGACAATCTAGTTCTTAAGCTGAATGGTGAGAATGGGGCTTCATTTAAAAATTACTTTTAAAATGTTATTTGTCTGACATATTTAAAAATAACAAAACACGGTTAACTCAAAAATGTTAATATTTAGAAATAATTGAATCTAACATTCTTTCATTTTATGAATCTAAATGTCTACAGGATTCACCCATGGTTATCCAACAGAGTCAAGATCTAACCCAGGACTTCTGGGTCCCATCCAGTGATAATATCATTTTACATTTTATTATGTCAATAACTCATATTAATATGTACAAATTTTATGATTTTACTCACCACTCTGGTAGTACTTAGAATCATGTGTCCATCTGAAGCCAGTGCAGAGGCCGAAGTCAGTCAATTTAATATGACCATCACGATCAATCAAAATGTTATCGGGTTTAATATCTCTATGAATAAAACCCATTTTATGAACACTTTCAACTGCACAGGTAAGTTCTGCTATGTAGAATCGTGCCAGATTTTCTGGAAAGATGCCCATTCTAATTAGTAGGCTCATCATATCACCTCCAGGAATATAGTCCATTACAAAGTATAAATTGTCTTTATCTTGGAATGAGTAATACAGACGAACTACCCATTCGTTGTCAGCTTCAGCCAGGATATCTCTCTCAGCTTTAACATGAGCAACCTGATTTCGAAGCAGAACATCTTTCTTTCGGAGAGTTTTTGTTGCATACAATGCCTTAGTATCTACTTTTCTTGCTAGACAGACTTCACCAAACGCTCCTATTCCTAGTGTCTTTATCTTCACAAACATAGACTTGTCCATTTTAGCCCTCTTAAGACGGATGTAATTAGACTCTTTTTGGCAAAGCATCTTTCTCATTTGGTCCTGGGCATCTTGAGATAATCCAACCTAGGCAAATAAGCTAAATGTTAAATGAAGAATTATTTTCTACACAAAATATTAAGAAATAGCTTGGAAAATTTCAGGCATATATTTAAAGGTTAAATGCATATAATTTTTAATAAAGCATGTTAGAAATCTAGAAGATATTTCAGAGAAAATTATCAAAAGTGCAGCTTAAGGGATAGTTAAGAGGATACAAGGTAAGTACATATGCGGATTCTGCTGTGGAAAGCATGATGATACCAACGATCAGCTTTCTACTCCTCTCTAATGCACTCAAAAAAATGTTCCCCATGTGCAATACCCAAACATCTGTTCACATGCATCCTCATCTATCCCTCCATGCATAATCATTCCAAATGATTAGACTGCCTTCACTATATGCTTCTCTTTGTACAGTACCTAGACCTCAAATACAGTGGTACCTCGGTTTTCCAATGTCTCTGTTGGCGAACATTTCGGTTTACAAACGCCTAAACCCGGAAGGAAATGCTCCTGCTTTTGAACACACCTTGGAAGTTGACCAAGCCACACAGCTTCCGCTGAGCACAAGATCCTGAGGCCTAGCTGTCGGCTGGTGATCCCTCGGTTTTCAAACATTTCAGAACTTGAATGGTCTTCCGGGAACGGACTCCAGTTGAAAACCAAGGTACCACTGTATTCTTCCTCCCATTTTACCCTTCATTAAAAGAAATTCTTTCACTCCAAGTTCATTTATTCTAAAAAATGTATGTATTAAGAACAGAAAAATATCTTCTCTAATCTAACTACTCATTAATAGCCTTACCTTTTATCTTTCTCAAGGCATTAGAATAAGGGTAGGACTCACAGCCATCACTAACACAAAGTAGGTTTCTCCTACTTTGTTTAAAAAGAAAAACTTGTGTGATTGCAAGGTATCTTTTAGATATTTTGGAACGTTTCAAAGAATAGTGTGACTTATGAAGATAACAAAACACAGATAAAAACCAAAACCAACTTCTAACTAGACATAAAATACCTGGATTTAGAAGGAAGGAACATTTATTTTTGGCTAGCTAACAACTAATTAAAGGGTTAAAATAGAATGGGAATTTGATTTGAAAAATAAAGTCTAATTCTAGAATGCAAGACTAAATAAAATACAGCAACCTCATGCTTCTGTTAGGATGCGCATTTGCATGCAAAATCTTTTAAGAAGGGTGGCATGCCAGACTTAGTATAGAACTGTTTCTCTTAAAATCTTACTTGCCTACACAGTAATGGAGGCTACAGAAGTCAGCAAAGCTTCCAACACCATAAGAGTTTAAACCAGCTATTAGTGAAAGTGAAGAGGAAAAAGGAAAAATAAACTAAGAAAATACATACAGACAGACTTTAGTAAGAAATCATAAGAGCTAAAATATGGATAAATCATACAGATTACACGGTGTTTATCTAACAAAATTCAATTTATAGCAGGAATAACAACATGTGAAGTCAGATTTAGAGAAATAATTTTAAAAGAATGGTTTTCTTAAGTTGTGTGAAAAAATTTCATCACAAATTTAAGTCTCTTGAATTCTGAGCTATAGATATAAGATTAGGAGTCAAACCTTTGAACTTTAAACACATGATAATGATGATGATAACAGTACCACTGTATCTAGTGAACAGACCTATATGGAATCATAACAGAGATTAAATTTATTGATTTCCTTTTAAGTGGGCTTTGATCTAATAATTTCGGCACATTTTTCCAGGACATTATAAAGTAAGTTAGAGGGGTGAAGAACTGAAGGGAGATGTCTCTGACACTTTCAAACAAGACCAGCCTGATGAATAAGCCTACAAGCCCAAAATTACTGAGTAAAAATAAGTGTTTCATAAATGTACCAAGAGATGAGACCAGATAATTTTAGCATTTTAAAATATTGTAAGGTAACATGTAAAACCTAAAAATAACCCTTGTTCCAATTTCCATATAAAGGAATTATGTATACCTCAACTGTAAATTATGTTTTTCTTAATTTATTAGAAAGAATAAATTTTTTACAAGAATTCTGAGTAAATCTTGAAATACTAAAATAAAATGCTATCATCAAAATATTTTAATGTTTACCTATTTTTAAATAATTGATATATTTAGCTACAAAAAGGAAGAAAAATACTGGACCACAATATTTTAACATAAACACCAAATAGATGATCAAGTATAAAAATGGACATTTTAAAAGGTTTTACCCGCATCATTTCATTCTCTAATTGTTTTTTACGATGTAGACGTTGCTGATGAGATTTGAGAACATTTTCTACATGTTGCTCCATAAAGAATTTAAATGCCTGAGGAGAATAACTTTGAATACGAGATTCCCTTCGCTCTTCATCTTTCTTGTTTTTCCTAACGGTGATGGGTGAAGTTGTAATCTGTTTCTTTTCTTTATCCCCACTCTCAACATTTTCAAAACTTTTTTCACCCTCATCTTCCTTGGGCATGCTCGGCTGATCCTCTTTGTTTTTACTGATTGATTCATATGGAGGAACAGATGAGTTTTGGTGCAGCAGATGTTTTGGATAAGGTGGTGGTGGACCTTGATAGTTTGGAGCTTCAGCAACAGGTGGCATAACAGTTATATTTGAAGTGGTACCTTCAGAAAAAGGACTAGGTTGAACAGTTTGAATTGGCTGTGGTATCCAAGAAGGGTGAGTAGGTGCTAAAGCAGTCTGTAGTTCTGGTTTTAACACGCGTATGCTTTTCACGGGTTGTTGAATTGGAGCTGGTGTAATAGCAGTGACTGTTGTAGCTGAAGGCTGAGAATTAGCAGGATGACTTGTTCTATTTCCTAGTGGGTTATTAAAAGAATTTGACCTCACTGGTATGTTAGGTTGCCATGTAGGGATTTCATGCCCGGTGCTTGGGGACGACTGGGCTGGAGCTGAAGATGACTGAGGCCAAGTTGTTTGCAGTCCAGGGACACTAATGTTATAGAGTTCCATGTTATGACTATTTCTATTTGGCACCATCATAGATTGAGGAATATTTCCATTTGTATATGATGAAGGAGCAGCAGATCCCCCTGTTTGTAGAGCAGAAGGGCTTTGTCCATTAGCTGGGGTCAGAGGATACGGAGGGGGTGGCTGCCGATTCACTGCACCAGCAGGGACATTTTGGTGTATCATAAAATCAGTTTGACCACTACCATTCTGAATTCCAGGTCTCCCTGGTGGGAAGTTAAATTTGTTAGAATTCTGCATGATGATTGGTTGTCTGCCCACAGGAACAGAACTAAGCCCTCTCTGTCCTTGATTCGGAGGATTCATTGGGGACGTGTTCAGAGGTGGTGGATAGCCCTCCTGCCAGGCTCCAGATGGAACAGGAGAGATTCGGGACATGACGTAGTCCATATTCCCGGAATAGCGCTTTGTTTGAGAGTTTGGTTCCCATGAGGGGGGAGGTGGAGTTGTACCCCTTGGAGGGGGAGTCTGGCCTCTTGTGGGGGGTGGAGGAGTGACACTCCTTACTTGAGGAGGTGGTGGAGGGTTTACTCTCTGTCCATTGCTAGGGTGAGCCTGAGCAAATGCTGTTATACCAGATCCTGACAAAGGTTTTCCTACATCTATCTGCGAGTTGGGACTTTCAGAACGATAGGCTGTACTTTCTCCTAGTGGTGGGCCATGTCTCTGAGGAACTAAGGATTCTTTAGAACCTTTCCAGCTTTGTCTGCGGTTAACAGATTGTTGCACACTCCCTACAATCATAAAACAGAGAAAAACACATTTTTAACTTCTTATTTTTGAAAAATTTAGTTTGGAATTCTGACACTACAAAATGGTAATTCTCTTTTAAGAATTATAAAAATCAAATTTCAGTAAGTGGTTTTATTTTACCTTTTTAAATTTTATTTTTGACTAGGTAATACATTCTCGTAACTCAAAATTCAAAAGGTACAAAAGAATACCCACCTCTGTCCCTTAACCAACCAATTTCCTTCCTTGAAGGTAATAATCTCATCAGTAAAATATTTTAGGGATACACAAGTGAATAGTATACCTCCTATATGTATTATTATGCCCTGCTCTTTTCATTAAAAAACTGCAGATTCTGTATCAATATATAAAGTGATTCCTCACTTAAAAAAAAGTTATCATAGTTTTTCACTGTACAGATGTACTCAAATTTATTTAATCAGTTCACCTATTGATGAATATTGATTGTTTCTATTCTTTTGCTTTACAAAAAAAAAGCAATGAAAACATTTGTACAGATTTCATTTAATAAATTATTAGAAGTGGCATCAGTGAGCTAAATAGGTCCATTTGTAATTTTGTTAGATACAACAATTTTAAATACATTTCAACATGGCTTTAAAAAAAAAAAAAGACAGGGCATTATTAGCTGAACACTAAATAAGGTATGGATTTTATAGAATTTTTAATGGAATTTCCAAATAAAATAGGCAAGAAAATATATGATACTTTTCAAAAAAATACTTAAAATAGTATGGCCACTTGGGAAAAGATATATAATACATTATATATATAAAATTTATTTGCATAAAAAACAATAATATAAATTAACACAATCCAGAAGGATTGAACATTTAAGTGTTAAAGATGAAACCTCCTAGGAAAAAACAAGTGATCACTGAATAATATTGGGATACCTCTTTGGAAGGTCTTCTCAAGTATGACAAAGGTAAAGAACATATAGTAAAATACTAACAGATCTAAACACATAAAACATTTATCACCATCAAAACAAAACAAACAGAAACACCCACAAATTTGAAAGGTCATCATCATCCTGGGAGAAAACATATCTAATAAGAGATACGAGAAAAAAGTAGTACATGCTCAGAATGTACAGTTTAACACTACATTTCACGTAGGCTGGCCAGCATCTTAGGTCTATGACTTCAAGGGAAGTCATCCCTCTGGGCAAGCTAGACAAATCCTTTGGCCACCTTCCTCAGAGAGTCAGCTGAGGCTAAATACACCATGTAACTCACGCAGCTTTCACAGCTAAAATGTAAGACACCTCAACCCTAGAGCAGAATGCCATCCCTGTTGTTCTGTGCATCCCATAAAGCTCTGTGTACTCCCACCTCCCAAACCCTGCCACAACTACCCTCTAGACATGCTCTGCTTTATAACCAGCAAATGCTCGTATATCACTAACCTCTGCTCCAAGCTTTCCCACCACCTCCTTACAGCTGGTAATCTTCTGCTGACAGCCCTTCGCAATTAAGGTTATTTTAAAAAATAAATTGGCTAAAATGTGGGATTTTACCTCTTTTCTCTCCATTTATGCTTCCAGATCATCTGTTTCCTTCATACTCTTTTTAAAAAGCCAGCTCTTTGGAAATTCATATTATCTGGGAGGCTGCATTCATTTCTCTTACCTAGTGAACTCTTGCTTGCTTGCCCTCAATCACTCGTAACTTTGGTCTACCCTAAGCCTTGCCAACATTCTATAACTTCAACATCCACGTGGACAAACCATAACCTTCACCTCTCAGTTTTCCCATTCCACCTCAAATATCACTCCCAAGATCACATTTCTAATTTTGATAACATCCATATGTTTCTCTTTCAAAATCACTAATTTAAGGTTTATTCTCTCAAACAACTTCTCTTTCTCATGTTTATTCCTACTTCAAATGTTCTTCAACCTCAGCCAGACCTATCAACCCTCTACTTTATCAGTCCTCCTCTTCCTTTATGGCACACTTTAACCAATTTGAATCCATATTACATCACTTCTTTCCTCCCTCTGTATCCCCTTTCTCCTCTCCTCATTTCTCTTAATTCATTAAATGTTTATTAAGCACCTATATGCCAGGCACTGCCCTAAGCAATCCAAGTACATTGGTGAACTTATAAGATAACATCTCTGGCCCCATGGAAACTACTTTCTTGATGGAGAAGAATGACAATAAATAATTAAATAAATATACAAGGTAACATCCGGGCACAATTACTGCTATATGAAGGAAATGTAAACGGTGTCAAATGATAGTAGCAAGAGGATAGAAAGGGATGAGCCAGTGGTCAGAAAAGGCTTCACCAAGGACATGACATATGACCTAAGACTGAGCTCTGTGTTTTAAATTTGCTCCTGAGATGGGAGCTTGGTATTTCCAAGAACAAAAAGAAACACAGTATGGCTGGAGAGCAGTAAGTGAGGGGAATAGCGATACTAGATGAAGAGTAATGAAGCCATGGAGAGGAGGATGCAAGGAATGAGAAGCAACTAAAGGCAGAGAAATATGCTCTGATTAAGGATTTAAATTACCCTTTTGGCAATATTCTGAACTCTCTTTCTTACTTTGTATTTGCTTAGTAAAGCTCCAGTTACAGATGATTCCAGCTAGAGAAGATGATGCAAAGAGCAGACTGATTCTACCATAAATTCATGATCAGCATCATCAAATAAATGGCCTCAGCACTGCCAGAAAATCCTAGTGTTTCATTTGGTCTCCACCATGACTCCTGCCAGTCTCTTTAAATTGCCTGTCCCATTCCTCAGCCATCACTCTTAGCAGATGACTTGATTTTCTACTTCAGAGAAAACTGAAGGCATGGGAAAGGAATTCCCTTATCTTCCCTACATAACCTGGGCCCATTTGCTCCTTAGAGCAAAACGGTTGTTTCTCTTCCTATGTAAGACTAATAATCTCTCATCCCATGCTTTAGATCCTTTCTTCTCCTGGCTTCTCAAGAACCTTACTTGGCCCTTCTCTCTTGAATATTTAATTGCATCCTCTTAACTGGAGTCTTGTAATTATCTTTTAAATTTGCCAAAGTCTTTCCTATTAAAAATATTAATAATAACAAGGCTCTCCCTCCACTCCCATATAGACCACTTCCTCAAAGTGTTATTTGGTGTCAGTCCACAAACTGATATTGGTTCACAGGAGAAAAGTATGGAAGTGGAGAGTAAAAATTTAGAGACTTAAAGAAATTTGAGCCCAGCCGGGCGTGGCTCAGCGGTTGAGCGTCGACGTAGGATCCAGGAGATCGGGGTTCGGTTCCCAGTCAGAGCACAGGCCCGGGTCGTGGACTAGGCAGCCCATCAATGACTCTCTCATCATTGATGTTTCTATCTCTCTCTCTCCCCCTTCCTTTCCTCTCTCTGAAATCAATAAAGATATGTTAAAAAAAAAAAAAAAAATTTGACAAAATAATTTAATGTCTATTAAAATGTGGTAATGAAATATTTGGACTTACATTTGGTATGTTGTTTAAATTTTTAACTTTTCTAGTAATTCATCAGTATTGTATTTTATAAAATTACTAATCTGTAATAAATTGGAAATTAACAGAAATAAAAAGATCTTCATCACATATGGGAAGCACTACTCTCACTAATGTCCTCACTCTACCCTCACAGAAAAACTTCTCAAAGAATTGTCTATACTTGAGTTCTTTACTTCATATCCATTTATCCTTAACTCACACCAATCTGAATTATACTCCTATGACTGAACAAAAACAAGTTATTCCATGTGTTATGGGTTGAACTGTGTCCCCCTAAAATTCAGTAAGTTCTAACTCCCAGTACCTCAGAATGTAACTGTATTTGAAGATAGGGCCTTTAAAGAAGTAATTAAGGTTAAAAAAAGTCATAGAGTAAGCCTTAATCAAATATGACTGTGCTACTTATAAGAGGAATTCTGGACACAGAGAAAGGCACCAGGAACATGTGCATGCAGAGGAACAACCATGTGAAGAACCAGTGAGGGTGGTCTTCTGCAAGTCATAGAAGGAGAAACCAAACCTGCTGTCTCCTTGATCTCAGACTTCTGGCCTCCAGAATTGCGAGAGAATACATCTGTTACTTAGCCACCCAGTCTTTGGTATTTTGTTGTAACAGTCCTAGCAAACTAATGTACCATGTCACTAAAGCCAACAAGGTATTTTCTAGTTCTCCCTGAGGTCAGCCTCTCTTTCCCTCTGTTCCCTTCCCTTCTTTAACACTCTCATCCTTAGGCTTTCAAGACACTAGAGACCATATTGGTTTTTTAACTTCCTTTTTAGCTAACTTTTCTGTCTTCTTTGCAGGCTTATCCTCTCCTATCAGCTACAGAGCAATAAGCTTGGTTCCAGTCCATCTTGTCATTTTTGTCTGTTACCTCCTTTAGGTGACCTATTTCATATGCAAGGCTAACATAAGAACTGTGTATATACACCTCCACTTGGATAACTCAATGAGCCTAACTCAGACTCATCACCAGACTTATGCTCTTTCTCCACCAAATTCTGCTTTCTCTTAGTATCCTCTTTCATAAGGTGGTGTATCACCATCTGTTCTCTACACCAAAACCTAAGAGTCACCCCTCTCTAGTATCATCGCCCATATGTAATCTATTGCCAAGTCCTTGTCAATTTTACTCTTCCCATCTCTCTTAATTCATTCACTTTTCTCCACTGCCATTGTCCCCGTCCAGATTACCCTCATTGCCTGTGAACAGGACTATCTCTTATCAAGTCTATTCAGATAACATTCCTAGCCCTCTCCAATCTGTTCTTCATCCCCTGCAGCCATCTTTTAAAAACACAAACCTAATCTTGTCATCACTGCCTGAAATGTTTCCACAACTTCCTGCTGCTCTTAGGATAAAAATCAAAAGATAGTCAGGCATAGTCAAGTCCCATGTACTTCTCCAGTCATATCTCATATTTCTGTTTTCAGTGCACTAGCCACTTTCACTTCTTGGAATGTGGTATCAAACCTGCCAAAGAGGCAATGCATAAGGACACTCTTCCTCACTAAGCCCACCCCCTTGTCTTTCTTCAGGTAGCAGCTCTATTATTAGTTTCACAGGAAGGTTTTCTCTGATCTCCTTGATTAGGTCAAAAATCCCTCTATTATTTGAGTTCATAGTACCATGCAACTCTCCCCTCTTCATTATGTAGTTATACTTCGACACATATTTGTGTATTTGATCTTCCTTAACAGAGTGAGGGTATGCTCCACAAAAGGGCAAGAACTTTATACCCAATGCCCAGCGAAGGGCCTGAAACAGTGGTTGATCAATAAAAATTTGCTGAATGAAAGGAAAAATGAATAAATGAGGCCTCTTATAAATTAATAAAAAAACAAACACAAGATTAACAAAGAATTAAAATGCCAATTAAAAAATAACCTATAGCGCGGCCGGGCGTCGCTCAGCGGTTGAGCATCAACCTGGGATCCAGGCGATCGGGGTTTGATTCCCGGTCAGGGCACATGCCCGGGTTGTGGGCTCAATCACCAGTTGGGGGCATGCAGGAGGCAGCTGATCAATGACTCTTTCATCATTGATGTTTCTATCTATCTCTCTCTCCTTTCCTCGCTCTGAAATCAATAAAGATATACTTAAAAAATAAAAATAAATCACCTATAAACAAATGCTCAACCTCACCAGTGATCAAAGAAATGTGAATATAAAATGAGACAGTATTTCCACAACCATTAAATATACAAAAATGATAAGTAGGACTTACAAATATAGGCATTCTCCTATTAAACTGATCGGGAGAATATAAGTTGGTAACACCTGACAGCAAAATCTAAGCAAAACCTTAAATTTCTGCAAAAAATTAACAAAATCATCAGGAATGTACAAATATTTGGGTACAAGAGCATTTACAGCAAGGCTGTCTATAATGGCACAAAAAGGAAACAGGATAAATGTCAAAAGTGAGAGACTGGTTAAATAAAGTATGTGACAAATCTATTTTAATGTAGTTATTAAAATCATTCCATTAATAACAAGGCAAGTTATGCATGGTATATTAAGTGAATAAAGTAGGTTTTAGTATGACCCGTTTTTTGCTTAAACAAAAGAATCAAAATACACACATATAAACCCACTCAGGTTTTCTACAGGAAAAAAGACTGAGAAACAAAACACACCAAAATCTTGTGGGTATAAAGAGTGTGTGTTTTATTTTTTGCTTATTACTTTCTAAATATTCTATGATAAAAGTTTTTACTCTTATAATAAAGAATAGTTTGAATGATATTTGTGGTTAAAAAGAAATATTTCAGTTGCAATATAACCAATCTAGTAGAATGCTGCCTGTCAGAACTACCTATGGAACGTCAGGGCGCATCCTGATTCACTTTGGTATAGCGTGACACTGTAATGTCATTATCCTAATTTGAGACTTTCACTTACTGTGGTCCTTTTACCAACTTCTGAGACTAAAGATTTGATATACTTATATTTTAAAACACTGCTATAAAATAAGAGAAGGGGAAAAGTTTGATTAATCACCTGGTTTCAAACTGGCATTAATAGGCCTGGCAGCTGCTGTAACCATCTGTTCCCGTCGAGGATCTTGGTAACTCATTTTGCTAATGAATTCAATTGCAGCTTCTATACTTCTGTTATTAGTTTTCTGAAGAGCTTGTATAACCATATCCTGATATGAAATTTGAAAAAAGAAACAAAATTTAAACCTTATAATAAGAGGGAAAGAGCACTATGAGTTCCACTAAAAAAAAAATCCATAATTATGAAGAACTGGGCCCCAAACCATAATATTCATGCCCTACTTGTAAAACTACTATAAAAATCCATACATTCTCAAATTACTAAAGAAAACAAAACAAACCCTCAAACTCTTCAACTGTTTAATATTTTCACTTCTGTGTAACATTACTTTTTCTTCTAGAATTAACTTCTTCCAGGTACAATCATAACAATATGATGCTGATTATTTCTCATTCTTAATTTCATTCTTATATGAATAGAGACTATCAGATTGTTATAAAAAGGTACCATTCAAAAATATTGAAAACCACTCTTTTGTATTGTTAAAGCATTTTATTAAGCACCTTGCCATTGTGTTTACTAGTAAAAAAGCTTTGTAGTTCTGGTTCCTATCTTCCTTGAGCTTACATGTTCAGAGAACTTTATTTACAAGGACATAAATATAGGACAGATGATAGAAGAAAAACACTTACACTATATATGATTACGTGATGAAGACTGTAGGAGGCTAGATGGTATGATGGAAAAAGCAGAGTTTGAAACCAAACAACTGAGTTTGAATTCCAGCAGCCCCACATTACTATGCTTTTGCTTTTCCTGCTCAGAAGGAAAAATACACTCCAGTGATTGTAGATTTGTGTGTCCCACTTAGAACTGTGTGAACTTTGGATAAGTTATTTGACATTTCAGAGCTCAATTTCTTCATCTGTAATAGACTCACAGAGTTGATGAGAGGATTAAATAAGAAACCAGGTAAAAGCAGATAAACACAGCGCCTGATCTCAGGTGTAAGCTGTCTTCCTGCTCTGCCCCTTGTCATTCTATGTTATATGGAAACATAAGTTACACACTAACATGTAGAAAGTATACTGACATGTATTTCTCAGGAGGCAGGCAGCTACTTACTTGTCCTAAGGACTTAGTATTTCAAATAATATTTTTAAATGAGAAATGGCTTAATAAGACTACTGGGTAAACAGGCTACTGACAGATAATCCTCCTATGTGAAATGACTAGAGATGAGTATGTGACCAACCAAAAAAAGTTGTGGCAGAGACAGGTTGTCCACTCAAGATCCGTTCTCCCTTTCTTGGAAAATGTTACTGAGTAAGGTAGAAGAAGTTTTCCTTATAGCTACATTGGCTACATGAAAATTCTGACCAATGAGACAAAAGCAAGGATTTCTGGAAGAATGCTGCTATCCCTGCTTTAGGTACTGGTCCTTCCTACATTCTGAATAGATATGCTACCTGTTCTAGAGCAGGCTGCCACCAAGAAGGAAAATTCAAGAAACTCCCAAGAGTGACTGGTTCTGAAATCTTTAAGAGACTGAACCAATGCTAGCTATCGAAAACTGAGTAACTATTTTGTTTAAAGTATTATTTGGGTTTTTGTTAAAGCGGCCAAACCCAATCTTTAACTGATATAAAAGTACAGTATTGGTCACATTTTATGCCAATCAGGCTTTGCAAATTTGTAGTGAAATATAAAGGAATTAGTAAGTCTCACGTTATGTATAAATTTAAAATAATACAAATCACCCCAAATTAAAATTCATCGGGAAGTGTTTAACTTTAAAACTGGTTAAGTCAAGTGAACTGTATTTATGCTATTATCACATGGCAGTGCCATCTCAGTTGGCAAGAAAGTTGCCACCCACCATCCTTTTTCAATATTGTGAGAACCATATTCTTGTAAAATGTACCAGAATTTAGCCTGTGATAATTATGCTGGCTTTTATTTTTTTATATACAGAGTGGGGCAAAAGTAAGTTTACAGTTGTTTGTATGGAAAATAATACAATAATTAATAAATAATAATACAAGAATAAACTGTTTCACATACAACTGTAAACCTACTTTTGCCCCACACTGTTCACGTTAAAATATTTTTACAGGCAATTTTTATCTAACATGATTTATGCCACCTAAAATATTCATATAAAATATATGATCATGGAAAATACATTTTATTAATACCTAAACAAAATATGATTAAATGTATGTGCTGTGAAAAACTTTTTAAATGAGTTCTGAAAGTAAATATTAAAGACTTGATATTAACATGAACAGGAATTTAATTAAAATAAAATTCTGAAATTCTAAGAGATTGATCAACATGCAAATTTTTAGTTTTTATAAAAGTTAGCATTTGGACCTGAGAGCGATGTGAATATAACTGCTTAATGAAATCCCTAATTATATTTCTCTTTCGCACACAAACAGATGCCCTCGCCAATGGCTTTCTTCAACTGCATTTCTTCATGGCTTGACCTTTAAATCCCAGAAACCACAGAGAAAACTACAGAAATAATCATTATTTTGTTTTAATGATTAATGAAATTGAGAACATTTTTCATTGACAGAATATACAAATTTGTATACATGTTATACTCTCTCAAAGGAAACATTTAGGCAGGAGATCACCAAAAATGTGTAATGTAATAGTACCGAGTCAGAAAAATCCTTTCTTTTGTTTTTAAAAAAAGTTCTTACCTCATCAAATCCAGCAGCTTGTAAATCCTGAAGCATTTGTGGATTAACCTCTGAAGTACTCCGACTTGTTTCATTTGCAAATGGTTGTAGAGAGTTTCGAATTTCCAGCAAGGCTTTATGATGAGTCCCAAATTTGGGTGGATTTCTGACTTGTCGAGGATCTTCAATTGACATTTTACTCATGTTATGCTCAGCCTTTGCAGCATCAGATGGTTTGGATAAATTCCTAAGGGATTCCCGAATTTCTTGCAACATTTGCCGGCTGCTGCCAGTGTAGTTACTGGCAGGAAAGGTCTTAGGCCGCATTTGTCTATAACCTTCTGGCTTTTCACTTCTCTTCATGAAAACATCTATATGTATAACCCACACAAAGGACTTTAAGAGCGACCTGATAGATTCAGAGCCTTCTCTTGAGCAAAACTGAAAAAGATCCTTTGCAGAAGTCTCCAAGAATGTTGAAATTCTTTACAATTTAAATAATTAACCCTATAAAAGAAAAAATAAATAAAAGCTATAAAGTAATTAACTGATAAAGCAGTATCTTGAATTGGGGGGGAAACCCCACTGATTTAGGAGGTAGAGTCCTAGGTTATAGTTCTAGCTCCATTATGGATTACCGAATGATAAGGACAAGTTACTTAACCTCTCTGTGCCTATTTCTTAATCTATAAAATTATATAAAGTAGTAGTTATAATGATAAAAGATAACTTTAAGAGTGCTTTAGTAAGTATTAAAATATATGCAAATACAAGGGATTAATAAGTGAACAATTCAACAGCAACCTCTCATTAACTTCACCTAGCGGCTCCAATTTTAGACATCACAAATTAGACTTCAACATAATATTTCTTTAGAAAAAGGGTATTGTTGCTTTAAAAAGGTTTTAAATCACTAGTCCAGAAGGCAGCTTTATGCTTTAAAACAGATGCCTGGGTTTATTTCCAAAACTGTGGACTAGGACTCTAGAGACAGTACTTATCACAACGTGGGACACAGAAAGAACCTCTGAGGATAAACTGTCTTATTTCTCACTTAATGCATGAATGTCTTCTATCATACACTGAAAATAGTCACCTAAGGTCTACTTAAATGTCCCCACTGGTAGGGAAATCACTAACTCAAGAAAGCCATTCTGTTTTCCTTACGTGGAGCATCATGAAATCTCACTCAGGGTGTGTTGCAAGCCTGTGATGAGTCGATGCTAAACAACTTTGCCTACATTCTAACCATCCTAATAGCCCTGTGAGGTAGGTTTACTATCTCTACTTTGTAGACGAGGAAACTGAGGTTCAGAGAGTTTGAGTAAAATAGTTTGTAAGTTGTACCACTGGGATGTGAAACATTGCTCACTATCATCTATGGGAGCCTATTTTCATTAGAAGTAATCACCACTCATGTTACATAAAGATGTCTATAGACAGATATAGATATCTCCTTCTTGTCATTTAGGCCTCAGTCCTGTGACTTCCTCAAAGACCCTTTCCCCAGTCACCTAATTACCCTGTTTTGTTTTGGGTATGCTCTAGTTTGTCAAAAAAAAAAAAAAGCACATCACTTGCAAAGGAAAACAAGAAAAAGTATTCACGTGCTTGTTCTGTTAATTATTAGCAATGTGAACTTGGACATTTAATTCTCTCAAAACCTGTCGCTGAGGGATGAAATGGCTGGAGTGACAAGGTTTACCTACGGCTTGAACAAGGACTGAGAGTAGCGATGCAATACAATTAAAGGAACATGCACATGAGTGTCAGAATACAGATACAGCATCATCTATAACAGCAAAGGATGACATCAATCTAGATGCTCATCAGTAATTGCTCAAGTAACTCACAGTACATCTGCATAATGTGGTGAAGCAGATGTTAAAAAGGATGATGCAGTTCTATCTAAATGTACTGACACAAACAGATACCCATAATGTACTTTATATAAAAAATGTTTTTATTGATTTCATAGAGGAGAAGAAGAGAGAGAGAAACATTGATGTGAGAGGGAAACGACTAGCTGCCTCCTGCACACCCCCACCACACCCCCCACCAAGGATCAAGCCCACAACCCAAGTATGAGCCCCAACCAGGAATTGAACCGGCAATCTTTGGTGCACCAGATGATGCCCAACCAGCTGAGCCATACCAGCCACAGCTAGACCCAATCTTTAAGGTGCCATTCAAATGTCTCCTTCATGAAGCTTTCATTGAACTGCCGGTTGTTATACTTCTCCTCTGAAATCTAAATGCACTTTGCATGGTAAAGTAAAATTTGTTTTTGCCCTGTTCTAATACTTGTCTTATTTTTCCTACTAGATTACAGATTCAGAGAGGATACATACATATATATATACACACACACACACACACGTATATATATACACATATATATATACGACAGGTAACATTACCTAAAAAGATTTCAGAGTGTTACCTTGGGTAGAATTAGGTTTATAAAACAGATGGCCTATCTCAATGCTCTGACTAAATCAGTTACAACAACAGTCACACGTACCACTTCTTAGCAGCGCAGTCTTAGTTGTTTAGACGGCAATATTCAAGAATCTCTGCATAATGACATTTTCTTCAATTAGCTTTCTAAGAATTAACTAATCAAAAGTGAAGACAATCACTGTAATTTATCTTCATGCTGAAAAATGACTGCCATTTCTACTTGATAAAAGTGTTGTTCGCTGACTAAGTAACTATATGGTCTACAAAAATCACCCACGAATCTAAATCTAACATGCAGAATGAAAACTAAATAACCTGAGTTGGAACAATTCCAAGGCTACGTTTATATAGAACATCAAGGACTAGCATTAAAAAAAATAAAAAAATAAAAAATCTATAGAAAGAAATCCAGATACTATTATACAAAAAAAAAAAAAAAAAAAAAAAAGTATTATTTGNAAATAAAAAAATAAAAAATCTATAGAAAGAAATCCAGATACTATTATACAAAAAAAAAAAAAAAAAAAGTAGCAGTATTCTTTTATCTGCTTTTAGAGAGTGGCAAGGCATGTTCAATAAATACTCAGGCTTGGAAAGACTGCCTTCCCCAGCACGCACCATGATCCAGTTTCTCGCAACAGCAGCTGATCCGAGGAACACAGTGCTACTTTTTATTCTAAATCAAATTCCTCCACTGCCTTAGGGAATCAACTAGCCCATTTTACCTGCCTGTCAACTCAGGAAAGGAAAGAGACGAACTTAGTTAAATCACAAATGTAGATGATCGGAACAGAGAACATTCATTCTAATTATAATTCTTCTTCACGGAGGAACTTCAGTAAAAAATGTTTAAACTTCCTAAATAATCCACAAAGGCCTGGCAAGCTTCATGATCCCGGGCGTTCGAATCCATCCCCCAAAAGAGCCTAGATTCTTCCTCACCGGGTTTATGAATCGCTTGTACATGACGACATCCTTTAAGTCGTATTAACATATGGGTCGACAAACATTAAACTTGGTTCCCTTAGAAAATAACTCTCAGTTGGAGAAGTCGGAGAATGGGGTTAGGTGAAGTCACCTGAGAGCCACGCTATGACACGCAAGTCCTTCCCGGAGTTTATATAATAAACAGCGCTCCCCTCCGTCCCCTTTCCTTCACTCTCACACACTCTTATTACATAAAGATCCCCCCGCCTCTCCCACTCCTTCGGACTACGAACGGTAGCCTAACACTGCAGTGGCCTGGAAACAGAAATCCCCAGGATTTCTTCAAGGTCTATCCCGGAGCAGGTCCCGGTACGAGGCAAAGAACCGCAGCCCCTGCCCCGCAGCTTCCCTCCGGAACCGCCTGGCGCTCTCCTTCCTTCCTACACACGCTGACCGGGCGCGCTGCGGGTCCGCAGACAGTAGCCACCAGGCCTCGGGCAAAGGGGGCTCTTCCCAGCTGCCAGCACCTCCCAGGCCGCAAGCCTGCGGCTCTCTCTTCCTGCGGCCCCGGGCGCGGCCAACCCTCGCTTTCGCCAGGCAGGGCTCC